GTCCTATGAAAGCAAGAGGGAGAGGGAGAGGGGAGTGAGGTGGGGATGTAGAGAGAAGACATATGAGGTGCCTAGGACTGAGCTGGCCACAGCTTTGCAACGCAACACAGTTGTTGCTTAGGCACAGAGTATATCTATAGAAGTCATGTGGATGCAGGAAAGAAGAGAGGCAAGCGACTTACCTTCTTGCTCCTCCCATCTCCTGTTTCCCATTGGTTAAAATCTACATTATGGGGCCCTGGGGTGTTATCTGGTTCTTCTGACAGCCACCTGGGAAGCAAGAGCCCCTGGGGGTACAGCCTAGCCAGTGTGTAACTGCTAGGGTCTCTCCTTGTCAATTGGCTCTTCCTTTGGTGGCAGCAATGACAGTGGTTTTATGACCTTAAGATTGACTCCTGTGACCAGGAAGCAAGACAGGTGCCTGAGGGGCAGGCAGGGAGAGCAGCCTTGGGGTGACACATAAACTGGGTCTAGTTTCTTGACATCAATGCATGCCACTTCCAAAAATGACCCTAATCTCAACAAAGGGTTTGGTGAGAAGTGGCTAAAGGGACAGATGAGGTCAGCAGCACAGCCTTTGTTCCCCTCTCAGGGACAGACATAATGGTCTTCATGTCTGGCAGGATGTTGAATAAAGGATCATGATCAGGTGTTCTCCTTGTCATCAGTAAATTGAATTTAAGTTGGAACAGGAAGGCTACAGTATTCAGGAAAACCCTGATTTGTAGGAAACCAGCTGTTTGAAACCCTTATGTATTAGTTATCTGTGGCTGTGTAACAAAAGACCACAAGCTTAGTGACTTAAAACAACGCACACATTTCATCTCATAGTTGCTGTGGGTCCAGAGTCTTAGGGTCTAGCTTGATTGTCTGCTGCAATCAGGATGTCAGCCAGAGCTGTGGGCTCATCTGAGGCTCTACTGGAGAAGGATCTGCTTCCACATTTACTCAGGTTGTTGGCAGAAGTCAGTTCCTTGTGGTTTTAGGACTGAGGCTTCAGTTTCTAGCTGGCTGTTGGCTAGAGACCAACCTTAGCAACTAGAGGTCACCTGCAGTTCCCTGCCATCTGGAGTTACCCAGCAAAGGCACTTGCCTCCTCAAAGCTAGCAAGGGAAAGGGTCCAGCAAGACTCTCCACAATTTTATATTTATGTGCTACAATTTTATGTTGCACAATCACGAAATTATGTCTGTGATTGTATATGTCGCTTTTGTCACCTCCAGGGGAGGTAATCACACAAGGGCATTAACAGCAAGAGGCAAGAATGATAAGGGCTGCTGCAGAGTCTGTCCAACACACCTCATTTTTCTAGAACTCTACTTGTAAAGAAGTTCCTGGGTGGCACAAGTGGTTTGTGCTTGACTACTAACCTAAAGGTTGGCAGTTCAAACCCTCCCAGAGCACCATGGAAGAAAACCTTAGAGATATGCTTTCATACAGATTACAGCCAAGAAGACCCTGTAGAGCTGTTGTACGCTGTAGCACACGGGGTCACTGTGAGTCAGAAGCAACTCAGTGACAAGTTTGTTTCTTCTTATGGGCAAAAGCAGCAGATAATTCAGTAAAACCCGCCACATGCTTACATCAGTAATTCAGTTCTTTTCAAAAAGTCTCATGCAGGTACTGAGTCAAGCTTATCTTGGTTCTTTTCTCTTCTCTTGTGTTCACTTCTCTTGTGCTGCTGTAACAGAAATACCACAAGTGGTGGCTTTCACAAATAGGGATTTGTTCTCTTACAGTTTAGAAGGCTAGAAGCCCAAGTTCAAAGTGCCGGCTGTAGGGGATGGGTGAAGGTCCCTCGACCTTGGGCTTCAGTTCTGCCTCCTATTCCAGGACAACTGCAGCTAGAGGCTTTTTCTGACTCATGCAGCTGCTGGCTGCTGAGGCTGACAAACCCAAGATCGACAGGTAAAATGGCACAATCCCAAGACTGGCGCCAAGGCAGCACAGCAGACTGCTGGTTCACGTCTGGGAATAATCCCAACATCAGCAGGCAACACGATAGCCCAAGACTTGGCCAGCTACAGGGTCCAGATGTGCCAAAAAGCTGGAGGCCATTCTCAAAGCTTCTCCTTACATACTGGAAGCAGGCCACACCCTGAAGGCAAGTGCTTAGCTGCTCATAGCAGATTCCACCATGGAGGTGATTACTCTCATTGTGGGGAATAAGCACATTCAGCTGCCAAACACTCAAAACCACCACACAGCCAAGTTGACACACAACCATAACTACCAAAGTCACTATCTTCAGTCCCTGATCTACACCCATAGAGAGACAGCCCAGGGCCAAGTCCACTCAAACCACTAGCTTATTCTGTGTAAGGCAGAGAAATGGGTTAAGTCCACAAGGAGAGTGATATTAGCCTCATGTAGTTGTCGATATTTTAAAATGTTTCAACTTTAAAAGAATAAAGTTTTCTGCTTAAGTATCAACAAACCAGGACATGCCATGACCCGGAAAATCCCCATTTCTAAAACGTTCAGGGAACCTGAGTCTGCTAGAAAAGCCAAAACAGAAATTCCCCATCCTAAGTGATTACCAGTCAGAGAGCTGCCATGGAATGAGTAACCATGGGATGAAAGGAGCCTCATCCAGGACTCAGATTGGGGGCACTTGGCCCCCAGCTGCAGCCCTCTGTCTGCTGGGAGGCTAAGCCCCTGCAGGCCTTTTCTTATTGCTCCTTCTGGTGCCCTCCAGCCTCACGTAGGCCCAGCCACTGTGTCAAGGTGTAATTGACGGACTGCTCGGGCCAGTCCAGGCTCGACTGAGCCCATCAGGGCAGGAACAATGAGGGGTGCCTCAGAGGAGGAAGGCTATTTCTAAGGCTCATGGTTGATGGACCACACTTGCTGTGATTACCATTTTAATTGCAAGGGCCACTGCGACCTTATATTCAGGGTGCAGATTTCAAAGACCATAAAGCACTTCACCGGCTTAAAAAGGGACCATGGAACGGTGTGTGCTTGAGACTAGAAGTTGCCCATTTATGATTATGATGTCTCTCTCTCTTGGCCTCCAGGTTGCAGTCCAATTCTCCCAGATAGGAGAAATCCAATATTCAACCCTTTGTTTCAAGGTCAGACTCAAATCCCACCTCCTCTGAGACCTTCTCCAATCCATACTCATTCCTGTCCTCTTAGTGCTCTACCCAACCTTCCTCCACCCTCCTACCTGTAACTCCTGTAGAACTCATTGGCCCTACCTCTGAGTTGGCCGAATAAAGCACCCCTCCCCCCCACACAATTCTGACATCTCTTCTAGTGGCATTAAAAAACCACACGCTGTCTTACATTCCCAATGGGACACTAAGGCCCTAAACAGCAAAAACCATGTCTTACACTCTTTAGTGCTCTCTTTGTTGGCAGTTCTTTGCACATTGTAATCCTCAGAGTATTTCCTCAGCTAAATTTCTTAAACTTTCCAGAGCAGAATACTCACATAGTGTCTACCTTTTTTATTTATTATTTTCTCTTTTGAGAGTTATGATGTTGTTGTTGTTGTTATGTGCCGTCGAGTCAGACCCGACTCATAGCGACCCCTCCTTGGGTTTCCAAGGCAGTATTGCTACGGAAGTAGCTTGCCCCATCTTCCTTCCGAGGAGTGGCTAGTGGGTTTGAACTGCCAGCCTTCTGGTTAGCAGTCAAATGCCTTAGGCACTATGCTACCGATTCCTATAAAGCCTTTGTATTTGCTACATAGTAAATGCTTAAAAACAAAACAAAACAAAAAAAACCCTTGTCATTGAGTCTATCCAACTCATTCATTGTGATCCCCTGGGTTAACAGTAGAACTACTCCATAGGGTTTTCTTGACTGTCATCTTTACGAAACAGATCACCAGGCCTTTCTTCTGCAGTGCCACTGGATGGGTTTACACCATGAACCTTTAAGTTAGTACCCCAAAAAAATGAAAAAACAAAAAAACCAAACTCACTGCCATAGAGTCAGATCCGACTCATAGCGACCCCCCGCCCTTGGGTTTCTGAGGTGGTATCACTACGGAAGTAGATTGCCCAATCTTCCTTCCAAGGAGTGGCTGGTGAGTTTGAACCACCAGCTTTCTGGTTAGCAGTCAGATACCTTAGGCACTACGCCACTAGTGATCAAGTGCAAACTGCAACCCCCAGGGACCACAAATGCTTCATATATGTAAGCTATTATCATGGCTTAGAGGACATCTTCGTTACTGACCATGGTTTATGTTGTGACACGATGACAAAAGATAAAACAGGTCAGCTCTTCCCAAGGGTTTTTTTTTTTTTAAGTCAAGTGTATGGACAAATACATCCAGCTGCCATGCAGCTTCTTTAGCTAAGAGTTCCACATACTAATCAGGAGATTCTTGACCTCGTTTGTGGTCTCACGGACTCTTTGTCTGTCATAAACTTGAGCTGATCCCAGGAAAATGCCATTTTCCTCACATTGGACAGTCTAGCAGCCATTTTTCCAAAATGGTTCCAACTTTCTGTAGCAGCTCTACTGAGGGAGCAAATCCAGAGTCAGAACAGAGTTTCCCTGCAGGGAGCGGGGCCTGGCATATTACTAAGGGCTCCTACTTCGTTGCAAGAGTGGGAGAATATGGTTGGGTCAAAATTCATTTGGATAACCCTGCAATTTGACAATGGGCTAAGAAGGCTGGTAAGGCAAAACTGTTATTTGTTAGAAATATATTGAGTCCTGCCCGCAGTCCCTCTGTCCATGGGTTGGATTAGGTAGAATGGGTGGAAGCGTGGGTTGCAGAGCTGTCAGTGTCCTCACCAAGGAAAGGATATCCCCAGCATTCAGCACACCTCACGTTGGTGTCTGTTGAGCAACAGAATGAGTGGACTTAGGTTGGAGATGGAGGTAGGACCATGCTTTCTTGGGGTAGATTTACTCATCCCTCCTAGGTGTTTGAAGACAGTGGGGAGAAGCCCTTCCTCCCAGCCGTCTGCTCTGCAGGGGCCTGCCCCTTCGCCTTGCACGTGACCTCAGCAGCCTCCTCACCTCTGTGCTTACAGAATTACTTTGAGAGCTACTTTGCCGTTGCCTCCACTGTGCCCTCCATCCTGTGCCTCGTGGCCAACTTCTTGCTTGTCAACAGGTATGTAGCCTCCTCCACCCCCTTTCCAGGCCCCCAGCCTTCGTTTTTGGCCTTCTCCACTCCCCTTTTATCCATAGTTGCTTTTTGTCTGCCTGGTTAAGTGGTAGCTACTGAAGCAGGAGGCAGGCAGCTCAGACTTGTCCATGAAGATCAAGAGGTCTGATCAGTTACCTGGAGCCTTGTTGATGGAATCCCCAGTCAGGGGGCTGGGTGTTCACCTTTCACCCACATCATGACATCCTGTCAGTGGCCAGTGGGAGGTTTATGTGGGGACACATGGGTCTTCCTCCCTGCTTCTCTTGGGATGGTTGGCCTTGGAGCCAAGGGCCACCATGTGGCTGGTAGGGTGGGGCCAGAGAGCAAGGCTGTGGAAACTGGCTTTTCAGGTGTTTCTGAGAGCGGCTAGAGTCTTAAGAGCCCACGATTCCCCATCTCAGCTCTCATCATGTGGGAATGGGTTGATAGGCTGCTCAGTTCTAAGATGGTGAAACCAGTTGATGGATTGGCCATTCACAAAGGGAGTTGGTGGGAAATTTCAGATGTTATGTTGGGGAATGCTTCTTAGAAGCAGGGATGGCAAGACTTCATCTCATGTACTTTGGATATGTTATCAGGAGGGACTAGTCCCTAGAGAACAGCATTATACTTGGTAAAGTAGAAGGTCAGGGAAAAAGAGGAAGACTTTCAATGAGATGGATTGAAATAGTGGCTGCAACATAACAACGATTGTGAGGTTGGGGCAGGACTGGACAGTGTTTTGTTCTATTGTACATAGAGTCATTATGAGTTAGAACTGACTGGACAGCACCTAACAACAACAACAGCATTGGTGAAGGGCTGGGAAAACCTTCAACTGGATGGACCACGGAAGAAGGAATTATCTAGGAGCTGGCCAGGCACGTTAGCCTGGCCCATAGACCCCCACTGGTAACTGTGGCCATACATTATCAACTTAGGTTTACAAAGGGAGATACTTTGCCTGTATTTCCCCAAATTACCACCAGGGGTGACAGTAGCTACACAATGATCCAGAAATGCAGTCTTCTGGGCATTTCCTGCTGAAACCTAAACCATTGATGGCAAATCTGCTTTACTCAGTTCTGACCAATTTGTAGCAACTGCTTGGCTGTTTGGTTGAACAGGATTGTGTGGCAGGTATGGGCTTGGGAAGGGTGCCTTGATCACTTAGTGGTACCTGCCTTGGGTACAGCAGTAGAGAGGGCCCAGCCTGTGCCTCCTGTGTGCTAACCCCGAATAGACCAGCCTCTCCAAACATTATGTTGTTGTCGTTGTTGTGGGATTACTCTAATTATCTATTGCTACATAAAAACTACTGTAAATCATGGTGGCTTAAAACAATAGCAGTAATGACTCTCTCATGGCTTTAGGGGTCACCAGGGCTCAGCCAGTGGTTCAGGCTTGCTGCTATCAGACAGTAGCTGGGCCTGGAGCATCCAGGGCTCCTTGAACATCTTCCTCTCTCTCTGTGTCTATCCTCTTTGTCACTCACATGTCACTCTCAGTGTAGTAGGACTACTTATACTGGGACCAAAGGCTCCAAGAATGAGTGTTGTAAGAGAGCAAGGCAGAAGCTCATGGTTTTTATAACCTAGTCTTGGAAGTCATAGTTCCACTTTCTGCTGTACTTGATTGGTCTAGGGAGCCACAAAATCCACTTAATTTGAAGGGGACACAGATGCTATATGTCTTAGTTCTCTAGTGCTCCTGTAACAAAAATACCACAAGTGGATGGACTTAACAAACAGGAATATATTCTTTTACTGTTTAGGAGGCTAATAGTCTTAATTCAGAGTGCTAGCTCTAGGGGTTGGGTGAAGGCCCCTTGACCTTGGGCTTCAGCTCTGCCCCTGGTTCCAGGGCCATGTGGAGCTGGAGGCTTCTAATTCATACAGCTGTTGGCTGCTGAGGCTGACGAATCCAAAGGCTGCTGGTTCAAGTCCAGGAACAATCCCAAGATAGGCAGGCAACATGACAGGTGACTGGTTCAAGCCAGGAACTGGAGATAAAGCCTGAACCAAATGCAAGACCCTTCTTATGTATACTGGAAGCAGGTCACACTCTGAAAGCAACTCTCCCTTTAACTGATTAACGGCCCACAACAGATTCCACCATGGAGGTGATTACACCATGTCCAATCTCATCATGGGGAATAACTATATCCAGCTGCCAAGGCACTCAAAATCATGGCCCAGCCAAGTTAACACACAACTTTAACTACCATGCTACTTCTCAATGGAAGGAGTGTCAAAGAATTTGCTGCCCGTTTAGGAACTTTCTAGAGGCACAAGTGCCCACTGGAAGTGTGAGAAAATAAGGACTCTCAGATGGGCCCAAAGGCCTTTGGGCCTCTGACAGCCTGCTGGTCCTTCGCATGGCTCACCTGTGCCTTGCCCTGGTGCACATGACTACAGTCACTGTTCTGCAGGTGGGGGTGCAGCTTCCAGAGACCCCACCCCAGGACAGGAGTGGAGGGGTGGCTGTAGGTGCTGGGTCAGGTGTTTCTTCAGCACCAGGGACAGAGCTGTATTACTGGTGCTACTGGCAGAAGCTCTGGTAGCATAGTGGCTAAGACACTTGCCTGCTAACCAGACGGCTGGCAGTTCAAACCCACCAGCCACTCCTCGGAAGGAAGGTTGGGCAATCCTACTTCCGTAGTGATACTGCCTCGGAAACCCAAGGAGGGGTCGCTATGAGTCGGGGCCGACTCGACGGTACATAACAACAACAACAACAACTGGCAGAAGAATAAGTGGGAGAAAAGGCAGAGGACTTGAGAAGAGGAAGAAAGGGGGGGACAAAGCTGTGGCAGAGGGGATGCCCTAGGCCTCTCACTGCCCTGTCTCCTTCCCAGGCCTCATCATGCTCTCTGCTCCCTCACCTGCCCTGGGACTGGGGGTTCTTTCCAGACCACTCTCCCAAAAATAAATGAAACACCAAACTCATTACCATTAGGTCAATTCTGACTCATAGCAACCCTACAGGGCAGGGTAAAACTCCTCCATAGGGTTTCCATAGCTGTAATCTTTACAGAAGAAGTGCAGCCTGAATGCTCCTTGGAAGCGAGAATGGCCGGATTTCATCTCACCTACTTTGGTTATGTTGTCAGAAGGGACCAGTCCCTGGAGAAGGATATCATGCTTAGTAAAGTGGAGGGTCAATGAAAGAGGAGAAAGCCCTCGACAAGATGGATTGACGCAGTGCTGCAATGACGGGCTCAGGTAGAGCAAGGATTGTGAGGCTGGCACAGGACCCGGCAGTATTTTGTTCTGTTGTACAGTGGGTCACTATGAGTTGGAGCTGACTTGACGGCACCTAACAACAACAACAACAATCTTTATGGGAACAGACTGCCACATCTCTCTCCTGAGGAGCTGGTAGGTTCGAACAGCTGACCTTTCAGTTAGCAGCTAAGCTGTTAACCACTGTGCCACCAGGGCTCCTTCAAGATCACCCAGCCTTACATAAATGCCTTCAACTCTTTCTAGGCTGTGGGAAGTCAGTTTGGGGCTTTTTTTTTTAAGCTGTTTTTTATTTAATATGTGAGATTGAAGTGTCTCCTTTCCTCCCCCCTGGAGAAGCTGGGCCTTCCCTGAGTAGCTTATCCATAATCGCCAAGTGTTTTATTATGTTAAGTCTGCAGCATTATAAATACTTATGAGTTGGGTTTACATTTTGGAGATTTAGGAAGAAATCAGTCCCCTGGCGTCCTGAGCCCTCACTAGCCAGGGAGGGAAGCTAGCCTCTGGGGACAGCTGGCAGCCCTCTCTGAGTCTCCCCCATAGAGTGATCTGTCCTAGGGCCCCAAAGCTGGGGGTCATCTCAGCCATCCCATTTCCCAAAGAACCACTGACCCCAGGGCAGCACTTGTCTGGACTTCCCCTAAAGTCTCAACTGTGTCCTTGTCCCCTAGGCCACTTTTGCTGCCTAGAATGGAAGCAATAGAGGCAAAGCCTACATGTCCCCATCAGTGCACGTGGGCAGCTGGCACATGGCACCATTTCATAAAGTTGTATGAGCATTGAAAATAGCCCTGGGCGAGATCCCTGCAGGCTGGCCAGGAGCCTGGGGATAGAAGCACTACTCAGGAATAGTTTATGCAGCAGGTAATTAGCAGGCAGGAAAGGGCAGCTAAGCAGGTGAGGGACCTTTGGGGGAACAGAGGCAGCCTTCTTAACTGCACTGCTTTTGTAATGCAATTGCCATTTGTATCCTCATTGCCCACTCTTCCCTCATCTCCGCCCTGGGGCTGCCTGGGTAAGAAGGCCCCCAGCTCTCTTCAGAGCCACCTTCCTGTTCAAGTAACTAATTACCTTGTAGTGACAAGCTCGGGAGTGCTTCCGTGGTGCCAGCAGCATTCCTAGGGTGGACTTTTTCTGCTCTAAGTACATGGTTAGAGGCAGAGGCCAGACCCAAGATGGGCTGGGAACACTGCAGATGTTTACAGCTGGACTCCCTGTGATGCTGAAGGGGCCCAGAAGCAGAGAGGTTTGGCCTCACCATAAAACTGCTCCTACATTGCTCATGTCTCTTGCTTGTCAATTTGTGCATCCAGCAAATACTCACCTGCCAGGCTCCCAATCAGGTTGTCATGGAGAACAGCCAGGCCCTGCCCTCAAGGCATTGGGTATACTCCCCCCCAATCTGTCTTTTGCTTCCTCCTTCCCTAGAAACTGGTTAAAACTTTTTGGAATTTGACCCTGGTCTCTCTCTCCACTTGTATTGCTCAGATACAGAATCATAAGTTGGAAGTGTCCTTAACATTATCTTGCCCAGCCTCTTTTTAAAGTTGTGCAAACTGCGGCCCAGAGAGGTTGCAGATTTGCCTGGAGTCACACAGCGAGTTAGTAGCAGCATTACGCTCTGACCAATCTCCTGACCCTAGCTGGCTCTTACCTTTGGGGTGGGTGGGTGACAAACATTGGGTAAGATCACTCCAGGCACCAGAGGTAAGGTGATTTATTTATTTATTTATTTTGAAATTGTGATTTGGGTGAAACTTTGCAGAGCAAATTCATTTTCCATACAGCAGTTCATACACATTTTGTCTCATGACATTGACTGCAATTCCCACAATGTCACAACTCTCTTCCCACTTCTTCCTTGTAGTTACCTCTTCCCTGTGTCCTTCCCTCCCATGTACTCCTGCCCCCACCCCTCCAGCGGTCTCCCTGTACATACATTGCCCTTCTGTTCTCCCATGATTGGTCACTCCAAGTAGTGTATTTACCTAATGTAAATGTTCAGCTCATACACCTATCTATTATTTGGCTGGAAGCCACAGGAGTGAGTTCAATTCCAGACCTGAAGAGTAGCTAGAGGCTATAGTCTCAGTGGTCTCACCAGGCTCTATCAGACCAGCAAACCTGGTCTTTTTTTCCATGATTTTGAGTTTTGTTCCACATTGTTCTCCCACTCTATCCATGATCTCCTACATGGATCTCCCTCCAAGGGGTTGACATTGGTAGCCGAGCACCATCTAGTTCTTCTGGTCTCACGGTCATATAGGCTGAGGATCACATGGCCTACCAGTCCCTTGGTCTAATTATTTCCATATGTCTTTTGTTTTCTTCACTATTCTTTGCTCTGGACGAGGAGAGACCCATTGTTGCATCTAGATGGCTGCTTGCAAGCTTTTCAGTTCCCAGTTGCTACTCACCAAAGTATAATGTGGAACAATGTTTTTGTCTAGTATGATAAGCCAATTGAGCTTGATGTCCCTTGTGACCATGGTCCTGAGCCCACAGGTCCAACTGCTCACTCCCTCCAGGTAGCTGGCTGTGGCCAAGAAGTCACCACAATGTTGTCCTTTGTCAGCTCTACTATCTACATTGACATTCTTACAGCACATACAAATACACCTGAAGAAATGTTGTCTGCGAACCCTAAACATGATCATGAGCACGCTATCCCTGCCTAGACATACCTGATCATTCAGCCTGTCCATCCATCTGTACACCCATAGATCAGTGTTTGCCATCACTGACAATGCAGTACTGTATATGCAAAAGGGTTCATCTTTGTTGTCTGTACCTCCCATGTACCTATGTCTTCCTCTTCCACCAGAAGTAAGATGATTCTTACAGATCTCCAGGTGGTTATGATTCTTATACACATAAGAATCACCGGTGGATCTGGTGAAAATGTAGATTCTGATTTAGTATATCTGGTGGCAGAAATAAATGCAAATTCTCAGCAGTGGGTTGAACCAAAATGAACTAGTTTGAAACCCTTGTGCACACACTTTCACATGTCTCCCTTTCATCCCTTAATGTTTCAGCTTAGAGTTTGCTTCCAAAAATCCTTCCACAACCCTTAGTAAGGGGCCCATCACATGCCCCATCATGCTTCTAGCCCCACCTCAGAGCGCTTACTTATGCTCTAGAATGAAATGGGCTGTTTCTGGTATGCTTTGTCTCTTGTCCCAGGTATCTAGCACAGTTCTCAATAAATGTTTGCTGAATGAAACTCACAGAGGACACACTTTAGCAGACCGAGTGCTTAACTGGGGGTCAGCAGGCCTGGGTTTTCATCCCAGCTCCATACGGATTCACTCAAATGAAAAACCAGACGCACTGTCATGGAGTTGATTCCAATTCAGAGACTCCCAGTGGGTTTCGGAGGCAGTAAATCTTTACAGAAGTAGATTGCCCCATTTTTCTTCCACAAAGTGGCTGGTGGGTTTGAACCACCAACCTTCTGGGTAGCAGCCAAATGCCCTAGGCACTGCACCACCAGAGCTCCTTCAACAACCTTGAAATGGCCCTTCACTTCCTTGGCCTTCCTCCTCCCCTTTACAAAATAGAGGCAACACCTGCTGAGGATCAGAAGGAAACTCAAATCAGCCTTTGGCCACAAAAGCACTTTGAGAACATCCTTTATTTTATTACTTTTCAGAGTCATCATTTCAAGCCTGTTTACATACATATATATCTTTTCTACCTTTCAAGTTTATCTATCACTTTTTTATCCAGAAATATTTTGTATACCTAATCTGGCTTTTTGCTCAGCCCCTACCCACTAGTTAGCAGAAAAATTAACTAAAACCTTCAATCCGTTTAAAGCTTAGTCTAATCTAGTGATCTAAACAGCCGTTTTAGATGGTGTTCTCGCTCCCTAGAATAAAAATGCAGTTTCCCAGAGTGCTTTCCTCCTTGCCTCTCTCCCCAGGGTGGTGTCTGAGTGGATTGGGGGTTGGGAGGAGTCTGTGGTTGACATGCAGGCATAGTATTGGGAATGAGGGGAGCCCTGGTCCTGGAGGGCACCAAACTTGGCATCAGCTGGCGCCCAGACAATCTGAAACGATCCCGGGTAAACACTTCTGCCCTGGCCCCTTGTCCTGTGGTGCCTTTGTGCCACCACATTTCCTTTGTTGCAGGGAGACACTAGAGTGTCTTTCTGAGTGCACAGCCTGGAGTGGACCTCCTGCATTCAAAGCTCAAGGCTACCGTGTACCCCTGAGTGACCTTGAGCCAATGCCTTAGCCTCTCTGCACCTCAGTTTCCTTATTTGTGTGCATGGGATCGGTAAGAGTACCTACCTTATAAAGCTGGTGTGAGAACTGAGTTATATATAGAAAACATTTAGAAGAGTGCTTCGCACCAATTAAGTGCTATATGTTTGCTTTGATGATAATGACTATGTTCTAACCTTCTTCCCTCCACCACAACCCACTGCTAAATTTTTGAGGACAGAAATCCAGTGGGCGGTGGTTGTATTTAAACACCAGAGAAAGCCAGCGGGAGCTCAGCCCTTGAACCTCGAAGCCAGATTCCAAGATGCCATATTTACTGAGAATTTACCCTGAGCCATGCCCTGCTCTTTGCACCCACACAGCCCCTGAAATCCTCACCACCACCCTGTGAGGTAGATTAGTTCTTGTATTAGTTCTCTAGCACTGCTATAACAGAAATACCACAAGTGGGTGGCTTTAACAAACATTTATTCTCTCACAGGTTAGGAGGCTAAAAGTCCAAATTCAGGGTACTGCTCTAGGGGAAGGCTTTCTGTCTCAGCTCTGGGGAAAGGTCCTTGTTTTTTGTTTAGCATCTGGCTCTCTGTCCCTTGAGGATCTTCACGTGTTGTGGCATCTTTCTTGCCCTTGTCTGCTTGCCTGCTTAATCTGCTCTTTTATATCGCAAAAGAGATACACTTAAAAAACACCGTACATTAATACTACCATGTTAACATGACCAATCTCAAGTGGCATTATATCCACAGGTATCAAACCAAACCAAACCCACTGCCATTGAGTCAATTCATACTACTGTTGTTGTTAGGTGCCCTCCAATCTGGTCATTCTCACTTTCAAGGAACATTCCGGTGGACTTCTTCTAGAACAGATTTGTTAGTTCTTCTGGCAATCCATGGAACTTTCAGTATTCTTTGCCAACACCACAACTTAAAAGCATCAACTCTTCTTTGGTCTTCCTTATTTATTGTCCAGCTTTCTCATGCATATGAGGCAATTGAAAACACCATTGCTTGGGTTAGGTACATCTTAGTCTTCAAAAAGACATCTTTGCTCTTCAACACTTTAAAGAGGTCTTTTGCAGCAGATATGACCAATGGAAAAAAAAAAAGTTCAGACTACTGGAGACCCTATAAAACAGTAGAACTGCCTCAAGGCTCTAAATCTTGAGAAGCAGGCTGTCACATCTTTCTCTTGAGGAGCAGCTGGTAGGTTTGAACCGCTGACCTTTTGGTTAGCAACTGAGTTCTTTAACCATTGCGCCACCAGAATTCCTTAACCAAAGGAATAGGGGTTAGGATTTACAGCACATATTTTGGAGGGGACACGTTTCAGCCCATAACAACAGTTCTCTTCCCCACTGTAGTTACAGAAGCTGAAATCAGAGCAGTTGAGTAACTTACCCAAGGTCATACACCTAGTGAGCTGGGAAAGCAGAATTCAAACCCAGGCCTCCTGACTCCAGAATGGACACTGCCAACCACTGAGCTTGCCTGCTTCTTCTAAGGTGGCTCACCAACCCCAGCCCCACATGGTGAGGCCCAAGGGAATCTCTAACCACCTCTGAATCCTTGCCTCAGGGTTCCAGTCCGTGTACGTGTCCTGACCTCCCTGGCCATAATGCTGACCATCTTTATGGTGATGACCGTGCTGGTGAAGGTCGATACCTCCTCCTGGACCCATGGCTTCTTTGCTGTCACCATGGTTTGCATGGTGATCATCAGTGGCATCTCTACCACCTTCACTAGCAGCATCTATGGCATGACTGGCTCCTTCCCGATGAGGAATTCCCAGGCGCTGATATCAGGTGAGAGCCGGGGTCCAGACAGTTGACCAGGTTAATCCACCTGGGGATCATGTAACAAACCATCTTAAAACTTAGTGACATTTACTCTGTTCATACATCCACAATTTAGGCAGGATTTGGTAGGGACAGCTCATCTCTGTTCCACACAGTATTGCTGGGTTAGCTCTCCTGAGGACTGGAGGATCCACTGTCAAGATGGCTTACTGACTTGGCTGGCACATTGGCACTAACTGTTGGCTGGAAGCTTGGCTGGGGCTGGAGCTTGGGTTACTCCTCACGCAAACCTCACTGTGGCTTTTGAGCTTTCTCATGTCATAGTATCTGGGTTCCAAGAGCAAGCATTCCCTTATTTCCTCTCCCCCCGCCCCTTATTTCCTTTTGTAACTTAACCAGAGAGGCCATATAACATCACTTCACCATAGTCATAAACCCAGCTGGATTCAATGAGAGAGAACATATAGACCCAGATGCCTCAGCTTGAGATCATGGAAGTCATATTTTAAGAAGAGCATGTGCAAGGGGAGGTGTAGCCATACCCACTTTTGGAAAATACAGTCTGCAGGTCCTGATCCCAGCATTCCTTTCTTTCCTCTTTCCTTCTCCCCTCTCTCCCTCTTCCTGTTTCCCCTTCTCCACCCTTTATCTTCCTTTCCCTTACCTTTACCCCTTCTTTTTTGCTTTTTAATTTTATAGAGAACCTACTATGTGCTGAGGATTCAAAGATGAACAAGATCCATCCTCTCAGGAACTGATAGTCTATAAATAACTCCTCTGTTACCCCTGACCTTTGGCCTCTGGTGCACGGTAAACACCGTGGGAGGGCTGATGTGTGACTTGGGCTTTTCCTTGGAGCTGGAGTTTTGATGTTGATACTAAGCCTGTTGTCTGGACCTTAGGAGTTTTCTTTTCTAAGCCAGAGCAGCATCCAAATGACCCAACAAGACGAACAGGAGCTGGTTCAGTAAAAATCTGCTTTGCCAGGAGACCACAGTCCCTTAAAGCAAGACTGGAGGCTCAGCTGCTCTGTTCTACATGCCTGTTCACGAATCTGCTCTGTGCCCCTTAATAATGCCCCATAGTATGTGTGGCAGGGTTGACAAAGACCTTGACAAGTATACAACCCCATCCCATGCCCATACCAGCACCAGACATCACTAATCGATTGGCATCTTTCCTCCTGATCCTCTCAATTCTTCTCAGCACAGCATTTCAGGAAGTTGCCGTGAACTGATCAGAGTTTAGATATGAGCTGAAATCTGTTTGCCACCTTTAATATATAGAATTAGATTCTGACTTTCCCCTGGGAAACACTTGGACCTAAAAAAAGAAAACAAACAAATTGACTCATTGCTAAGTTTCCTGAGTACAGACACTGTGCCCCTGTCACTGCTTCAAGAAGGGCATCTCTGGGTTGAGGGCTGTTGTTGTTAGGTGTCATTGAGTCAGTTCTGACTCATAGTGACCCTGTGTTCAACAACAAAACACTGAGGGTACTGGCCACCAAACATTGGATTTAATCTCTCTGTCACCTCTGCTCTCAGAAATTGGTTCTTATCCTCTCAACTCCCTCCAACCTGCTAGAAGATGTATTTTTTAAAATACAATGTCAGCCTAGATGGCTGACTCTCCAGGAGCCCGTGACAAAACACTCCACTGATATTGGGGTGCAGCCGTCAGGTCCATCCAGCCACCTGAGAAAGGAAGGGAACCGGTTGCTGTTGAGTTGGCTCCTACTCACGGTGACCCCAGGAGTGTCAGCATAGCATTATGCTCCATAGGGTTTTCACTGGCTGGTTTTTCAGAAATAAATTGCCAGGCCTTTCTTTGGAAGCACCTGTGTGTGGACTCAAACCACCAGCCTTACAGTTCACAATTGGGAGAATTAATCATTTACACCACCCAGGGACTCTCCAAATTTTCCAGGAAGTCCATTTTTAAAAAGGTGGGGAAATTTAATCCTTCAGTGTTAATTACCCTTGACCCTAAACCATTGTCATTGTTGTGATCCTTCCCACCCTTTCACCATGGGCACCATCACCCTAGAGAGTCCAACGGGTTCTGATCCCCTAGAGGGCCAGGCACTGCCTCACCAGCCATAGTTCTTTTTTGGTCCAGAGAAGCTGATCGGTGAATTCTGTGTGTGTTGGCATCTGAGGAACAATTCATTTGTTTTGTGCTGGTATTTTTTTAAGCCCCTCATTTGCATACATTTTCATAACTGATGAGATAAAAGTAGGGAGTCATGAAGTATGAGCTTCCCGGAGGCCTGGCTTGTTGTTGATGATAATATTGTAAATTTTGTACAAGTTGGAAAGGGAGAGAGGAAAATCAATAGGCAATGATGTTAAGATAGTATTCCTTGGGGCAGCTGGGGAGTATCTTAATGAGTTTAACCCTAGTTCTTACAAAACACCCCGGTGGGGATTATAACTTCTCAGAAGTGGGCACCCTTTTAGCAAATGGTTTACTCTGTTATTGCTGCTTTGATGTGGGAAGGACAGAAATAGCCAAATACCTGTTTGGGAATCAGAGAGGATTTATGTGGCATTTCTCTGTGCCAGGGACTGTTCTGAGTGCTTGATATATAATAAACCTTTTAATCCTCATAACAGCCCTAAGAGGTGGGTGTTATTAGTATCCTCAGTTTGCAGATCAGAAAAGGGAGACACAGAGATGTTAAGTGACTTGCCCAAGGTCACACAGATAGAATGGTAGAGCTGAGATTGGACTCAGATGCTCTGGTTCTAGAGTCTGTGCTCTTAATCATGATGCTAATTATTACATCTTTGCGCTGCCCTCAAATCCCATACTCCAGCCACCCAGGCTAATAGGAGCTTACTTACGTTGGGACAGTTGGGGGAAACGATGGTCCATCAGGGCTGTAAGCTGTTTTGTGCAGAACCATAGGCATGGCAGCAGAGTGTGGGTGAGACAGTGATGGTGGGTGTCATGATAGACCAGGTCCTGGACCACCTTCTCCCACTTCTGCTCCAGGCAACAGTGGACATTAAAGTGGTACCAGGTAAAAGCTGCCTTATGATGACAAAGCAGTTCATACCCACACATGGACCAGTCTACTGTTTCCATGTGGCTGTGTGTGGTCAGCCTTCTTGCCTCCTTGAGTATCAGTAACCTGATCCTCTGAAGTGGCTAAGTCATTCACTCAGCCAGTCAACCCAGCAGCTTCACTAGGCACTCAGTATATTGATAATAATAGTCTTGTTCGTATATTCAGTGCTTTCCCATTCTTCATCTCATTTCCACCTCAGTGCCGTCAAATGTGATGGACAGGACAAGTAATAGCCCAATTTTCCAGGCAAACAAACTGAGGTGGAGAGGAGTTCTGTGATCTGCCCACACTTATAAAGTACTCTCCAAGCCGGTGTCACACCCACGCTTCCTGATTCTTGGCCACCACAGTGTGACTACCAATGGCCAGGAGGGTTCAAAAGAAAAGTAGGACACATTCCTAGCCTCCTGGAAGCTACTGTGTGATTGGGGCAAGGAAGAGAACTAGCATTTGTTGAAGGATACTATGTGCCAGACCCTGTCCCAACAACATCTCAAAGCAGTTACATAAAGGCAGGTGTTACCACTCCCATTTTACAGATGAGATGAGTAAACTGTGGCTCAGGATCACATAGCTAGCAGAGTCACAGGTCAGATGTAAATCTCCTTGGCTCTTAGACCCATGATCCAATAGACTGGACTACCTTCTCTGTTAGGGAGCAGGGAAAGAGTGTGGCAGCCTCATGGTCATGTAACGCAATGTATGTTAGACACCTTGGCAAGAGGGGACATTATGTGGTGGGGCAGTTACATGCATATGTGAGCATGAGTGTGTGTGCATGTCTGTGAGAAGAGAGAGTGAGTGTGTGTGTGTATACACATGTGCATGTGTGTGTACATGTGTGTTTACATGTGCAGATTGCCCCAGCTGCCTTGAGGTACAAGGTAAGTTCTGTGAGTTCATAGGTGGGAGACCTAGTGGGGTGTTGTAGCTAGTTAAGGCTTCCCACATAATGGCCTTGGAGGCAGCAGAAGAATCTATGCTAGGAAATTCCCAGAACCTCTCACCCAGTTTGCCTGGTGGGTGGTTTGGGCCATGGGTAGACCAGACGAGAGAAAGCCCAAGGCTTTCTGAGATTTCTGGCCCCTCAATTAACATTTAGACCCACCAGGAGGTCAGTAAAGAGAGATGGAGGGTCAAGGGTTAGAAATGAAACCAGAAAGTAGGGGTGGGGGTGGGGGTTCCTGGAGTCCATTTGCTGTCTCATGCTGCAACCTGTTAACAGGTACATTGAAGAGAAGGCCCAGACCCAGGGCTGGGGACATGGAAGAACAATACCCTCTTAAACCTAAAAGCTCATGGCTGCAGAGGCTCTCTATGTTTGCCAAGGTTTCAGGAGCTGTGAGAAACTCAGCCATGTTCTCAGCAGGGAGAGTTTTTTCAGTTCTTTTAAGCCCAAGCATCTCAGAGGGATAAGGCCAGAAGCATGAGGAAGATGAACCCACAGCCACGCTTCCTCCATCCCCTGCACAACTCACATCTCCATGAGTGTCCTCTGGTCTCTGCAGGAGGTGCCATGGGTGGGACCATCAGCGCTGTGGCCTCGCTGGTGGACCTGGCAGTGTCCAGTGATGTGACAGATAGCGCCCTGGCCTTCTTCCTGACTGCGGACATCTTCCTCGCACTTTGCATCGGGCTCTACCTGTTGCTGCCCAGGCTGGAGTATGCCAGGTAAGGACGCCTCCTGCTCCGTTGGCTGGTTCTTTTTTTTTTTTTCAATTTTTATTGTGATTTGGGTGAAAGTTTACAGATGTTGGCTCATTCTTAAGTAGAGTTTTATATGTTATATATTTGCATTCTTATATCATCTAATTAAAGCATGTGTCTGTTCTCTTGTTGATTGCCTATCTCCCCTGCTGGAGGGTGAGTGTCATGTGGATAGAACCCTGTGTGAGTTTTGTTCACTGCTGCATCCCTGGTGCCTCGGGTTGTGGCCTGGCCACTGAATATAAGACATTGGCTCCCTCCACAGCCCCACACAGTTGGAGTCTGCAAGTTTTAGGACAAGGAAGACAGGTGGTAGAAGGGGAACTTGCGGCATAATAATGGTTGATGGTTCTCATTCCTTGAATAACTTCACTGCTCCCGGCATGTGTTTTATTTAATAGCCACACAGCCCTATTCCTCTCAGGGTATACTCCTCCTTCCCCTCTCCTCTTAATATTATTATTCTACCACCCGTCTGTCAGTTTTTCATACTGTGGTGGCTTACACATTGCTGTGATGCTGGAAGCTATGTCACCAGTATAGCAGCAGGGTCACCCATGGTGGACAGATGTCAGCAGAGCTTCCAGGAAGAAAGACTTGGCAATCTGCTTCCAAAAGTACCCAGTGAAAGCCTTACAGATCACAAGAGAACACTTTCCGACCCACTTCCTTTGGACACGCCATCAGGAGGGATTGATCTCTGGAGGAGGATGTCATGTTGGGTGAAGTAGAGGGCAAGTGAGGGTGAGGGAGACCCTTGGTGAGATGGATTGGCTCAATACCACAACAGTGGACTTGAACAAGCTGGTAATTGTGAGGATGATGTAGGACCAGGTATTGGTTTCGTTCTGTGGTACATAAGGTCACCATGGGTCAGAGTCAATTCGACATGAACAAACAACAACAACGTTATTATTATTCCTATCCACAAACAAGGAAATTCGAGTTCAGAGGGTTCTGGTAAGATGGCGGAATAGGCAGAAAGACTGCACAGACCCTCTTCAACAAAGAAAAGGGGGACCAATTAACACAGATAAAGAAGATAATCCTGGACCCCTGAGCCTTGAAGGGAAGGATATAGAAGTGGACTAAACTCCAAATAGCAGAAGAATTTGCATGAAAACACCAAAAAAGGAGACATACGGAACTGCGGTCTGGTGGCGATCCTGATGGCACAGACAACTTGGATATTGCTGAGTGGTGGTAAGATCTAAGAATTAACCTAAAACTCAGCCCTGCTAGCCAGGACTGCACAGAGGACTGCCCTGGTGGCTAGGGAATAAAAGGGGAAGCAGCAAAGAGGAAGGTGGGCTGAGCTGTGGACTTTTGTCTGTACGGAGGGTGCAGCCATTTTGAATGTTTACAAGCGGCTTGATCATTTTGGATATTTAAAGTGACAGCGTTCTCTTAGATTCCAGGGACTTAAGAACAGGATCCACTTTCTGGGAACCACAAGGACATTCCAGACGCTGATGACTGGAAAGGTGTGACATTCCCCTTGTTACTCTTATACCTCACACCCTCTTGGTGAACGGAGGTGCGGCCATCCCTCACTCCCACCCACCTTCTGGGTCAGCAGGAACTCCATCCCAGTCTGCGAGCTTGGAGGGACCCTGGGTGCCCTGCCCCGATTTTTTTTTCTTTTTTCTGTTTTGTAGTTTGTTTGGTTTTAATCTGTTTTAAAACTACTATTATTATTACTATTACTTTTGTCCTTTATTTTTCCCCTCACAGGTTGTAGTTTTCAGATTTTTTTCTTTTCCCTGTTCCTAGTTGCAATTTTTTTTTTTTTCTTTCTTGTGGTTAACCCTGTTCCTTGTTTTTCTTTTTGCATTTTTCCCATCTTTTTCTTCATTATTCTCCTTCTCTACCTTTTTTCTCTTACTGCACTCTCCTTAGATATTGCAGGTTTTTTTTTTTTCTTTTTCCCTTTTTACTTTTTTTGGTTACTGTTCCTGTGTGATTACACGGTGTGGTTTTGTCCATTTGCTTTTACTTTTTGATGGTTATGCAGTTATTATTTTTGTCTAACTGAGTGGAGGACAGCAACAGTCCCCATAAGACACAACTACACCCACACCTTCTGCAACTTCACTTACTGAGTGAGAGCCACTGTTTCCTTCTCCACCAACAGGCCAACGATAAACAACTACCAAGAAGAGCCTGACTCACCATTGGCTGCTCTTCACAAATAGTTAACAGAAATCTAAATACAACAACACCACGATGTTTCAGAGACAACAGACCATCATGGTCCACACAAAGAAGCAGATAAAGTGGTAAACACAAGGGAGCAGGATACAGACCCAGAACACATCCCTGAGGAAGCAGCAGCATTAGAACTCTCTGATAAGGAATTCAAAAGAATTATATTTAGGTATCTTCAAAGGATTGAGAGACAGACCAAGGAAAACACAGACAAAACCCTAGAAGAATTTTCGAAGAAAATACAAGAACAAAATGACAAATGAAATATTAGAAATGATTCTAAATCTATAGGTAGAAATTCAGAAGATTAATACTAAATTGTCAGCAATAGATAACAAGTTGAAAGGGCAAAGAAGTAGAATCGATGCAATGGAAGACAGAATTAACGAGATTGAAGACAAATACCTGAACACTTCTTTGGAAAGGGATCAATCAGAAAAAAGATTTTTAAAAAATGAAGAAAGCTTAAGGTTCATGTGGGATACCATCAAAAGGAATAACCTACATTTCATTGGAATTCCAGAATAGGAAGAGAAAAATAAAACCACTGAGAAAATTGTCTAAGATTTATTGGAGGAGAACTTCCCTGATATGATGAATGATGAGAATATATCCATTCAGGAAGTCCAATGAACTCCAACAGGATAGACCCCAAAAGAAAATCACCAAGACATATCAATCATCAAACTCATCAAAACCAAAGACAAAGAATCCTGAAAGCATCACGGCAAAAACAAAAAGTTACTTACAAAGGACAACCAGTAAGAATAAGTTCTGATTTCTCAGCAGAAACCATGCAAGCGAGAAGGCAATGGGATGATATATATATAAAGCCCTGAAAGAGAAAAATTTTCAACCAAGAATTATATACCTGGCAAAATAGTCCTTCAAATATGATGGTGAAATTAGGAGATTTCCAGATAAGCAGAAACTAAGGGAATTTGTTAAAACCAGACCAACCTTACAAGACATACAAAAGGGAGTCCTTTGAACTGAGAACCAAAAATAGCAAATAACAACCAACCATTAATACACAAGATGACATAACCCAGAAACCACAGCTGTGGACAAATCCAAAGTAAAATGAGCTTACAAGATTGTAAACAGGGGACCAGAGACATCAATTGGCAAGTAAGGACAACTACAAACCAAAAAGAGGGAAAATACTGTGTAGTCACAGAACATCTAAATGGTGAGGAAGTCAAGAGAGTTGCAAGATAGAATGGACTGTTCTAATCTCAGGGAGAAAATTATAAATCACAGGTAACC